ATTTATCAGTTCGACTGCTCCTGTGGAGCAACTTATATTGGTCAAAGTTCTAGGAATTTACATTTTCGTGCTAGCAAACATCTCCCAGCATGGCTAAGTAAAGGTCTGGTGAAGAAAGTGAACAGCTCGATATCGGCCGATTTAGCGCAAACTGGTCATGGTGCCAATATAATCCAGTCCTTTTCAATTATTTATGGGGTCAGTAATTTTTTGCCAAAGCTTTTCAAACTTAAAGTCCTTCAAATGGCTGAAGCAGTAGCCATCAGGATGAAGAAACCGGAGCTATGTGTACAAAAGAAATATCTTCAACCGTTTCTCTTTTCTTGGCCAACCTCAAGGCCAATTAATCAATAGTAATCTTAACTATTGAATGACCTAATTTGACTATTGTACTTACAACATTCCTTAATCAAATGTAATTGTCCCTGTTATCTTTATTCACAGATCTGTGTTATTATTAAAACTATTGATTAAACATCGTTATTAATCTCCCCAATACATGATTCATTTACTTGTCATTCATCCCATCTTATTATGTCTCACTAATGATTTTTTTACACAATATAGTTTTCCATTAAACATTTGATCGAACTGTAATTTCACTATTATTTCTCTCACTATATGACTCATATTTATTCTGATCATGAATCTTAAGATTTTCATTAACATATAAGCTGATTCAAGTTAACATTCCCCTTCTGACAATTTTATTCTATTTTGTTTGACAATCCTAAATTCATATGCTTTAACTTTAAACGATACACTTCGCCCTTAATCTGTCCATTTTTCGGATTATTAATTTGGAAATATGATTGTAGAACCTGAAGAGAATTTATCGAAAAGAATACTCTTCATTCAAATATTAGTCTTTTAATATGATGAGGATCTTTAAATAAGTAATTAATATGTTTACATATGTCAGGAGTGAAATAGTTGTCACCTATAATATTAGATAATTACAGATTGAGCTAACTTGGAATTAGTTCATAAGAGTTGCTTTTATGGTTAGGGATTTAATTCCGAGTGGGATCGTACGAGTGTAATACTGAAGGGTTTAATATTGGAACGAAAAAACTATCTAATCACTTCATGGTTTTCAGTCGTATCCTAACTGAGATCAAGCTGTGATTAAGACAATTAATGAAATGCTTACAATATCTATTATAACAGTTGGGGAACTAATCATTAAGAAAAAGTAAATTAAAGACATTGGTTTTACTTTCTGCACTACTAATCAGCAGGATTCTATTAAGTCGATAATTTATTTTTTTAGTTTTTATTATATCCAACTGACTAAAAATTTGTGATTATTTTTATTGGAAAAGTATTTAAACTGAAAATTAGTTTCTCATCAACTGATATCGACTGGAAAACTTAGGTTTCTGAATGTATTAACCAGCTTTTTCATCCTCTTCACTGTCCATAATTACTATAGTTGTTTATTTGCTAATGATCAGTTTTGAAATCAGCTTATTACAACCACAGTGGAACGTATGGTTTATAAGATCGATCAAATTATTGGGGAAACGTTAACTTGTCGATAACGCTGAATGTGTATTGTATGATATCAATAATTGAATAAGGTTTTTAAAAATGAGCCATTAGATTCCAGTTAATTGACTCATCGATACGATGACTACGGTAGAAATTAAAGTCTCTAAGTTTACTCATATGTGGGGTCGTGAGAACACAATGATGATAAATCTCATACTTGGATTAAACAGCTGTCCAGTTCTCTTTGATTTTCAGTGGTTTCCCGGTTTCCGTAATTTCATGATGGTATCTATGTATGGGTGGTACAAAATCTTCACACAACTACGAAAGTAATTGTATATGTAAGTGCCGCTTATAGTAAGTCGTTCAATTTATATTTGAACTGATCAAAAAGTAATATTACTGTGAGGAATATGAAACAGCTTTTTTTTACAAACTGGTATCCAAATTACATCTTTTCCCAATATAAACGCTCGTTTTCCTGAAACAATGAAAATTCTTACTTGGATAAAAAATACTCATAGTAAATTCCTGATATGTACCAACTTGTTTATTAAATATTTTCATAGATTATACTTTTTAACACTATAATAAGAGAAGGTTGTTTTGAAGAAAATCTGATGTACATTTTGAGCAATATGATCATATATTTATTAATCAAGAGAGTTTGAGAAAACTTTATAAACGTCTTCACGAAACCTCTGACACTAAATGTGGAGTAAGAATTTGTAGTTCAGGTTTCGTGAAGAAATAATTTGCTAAGGAGGCTTGAAGTTTCTTATGGTTATAGCTTTAATAAATCTATGAACACAAATCTGACAGTGAGCCTAAAATATCTTTCAATTTTTAGGAAGTGAATCTTAGGACCTTAGAAAATTATATGTTTAGCTTTGGAGAGGAATGTTCTTCAGTTCTTTGAGCTTGTTTTAGATTGCAATTTGAATTGGATCTGAAGTTATTTTTAACGCATGTTCTACTATTATCGACCGTGTAGCTAGATTACTCCTCCGTGTATGTTTCCAGGTACACATATAAACTGATAAACACTATGGGGATGTGAAAAAGTGTTTACTAAAGTTTATGCGGAATCGATATGATTTTTTACCTCGACAACTATTTTCCAAACTGTGTTTCAAATTTGACTTATCTCTGTACTTTAACATGATATAGACACTGCTTTATGACTGAGTAGATTGACGGTTCACATGCCGATTGAATCTTACGTAGGTTTCATTGAGTATCTATTCAATATTTCATTCATCAGTTTAATATATCATATTGGATCTGGATTGCAAAAACGATTAATTTAATGGAACGGATATATTACTAAACCAATTTTCCGTTTTAGTGGGTCAACATTGTGAAAGCTCATATATTATCTTATCTAAGTAAGCTTCCAACAAAGTGATCGTTTTGTCACCATTCTTCTTACTAAGAGCTATATTTACAGTGAGCACATGACTACCATTTCTTTATTTAGAGTTTCTTGACACCATAGTGTAGATTGAAGTTTATTTTAACACTGAACCAAATCAAAACGCTATCATATATTACTCATATGTCATCCATACATCTATTAAGAGGAATCTTACTGGTAAGTTGACTGGTTACATTTTCATTAATATGGCTTTTAAAAATTGATTGACACCAGTTCTGAGAGATTATCTATAGAGACGCTATCAATTTGTCTAGATTATTCCCTTTTCAACGTGAAATGAACCTTGTGTGTAAAAATTACTATCATGAATGTTGAAAGCGTAAGGGAAAGATGAAAATTACGTTATAAATGATATTATGTGTCTATATTTACATAGGTTAAAAACATTTGCACTGGAGGACTCAATATCAACATCATCTACATAGCTAATAAGGGCATGTTTATTTGAATGAAAACAGAAAAGTTTTTTGGGACACAACCAAATATATTTTTGAATAAATATCGTAGCAGAATAACATGAATACATTTATTTCGTGGATTCTTCTCAGTTGTTTACAACCTACAAACCGTAGTACTTATCATTAAAACGTCTACGACAAACTGAGTTAGAATATGTACGTTTCTTACATAAAGTATGTATAGTTATTTCGTTTTAATGATAAATAATAAGATTCTAGGTTGTAAGCAGTTAAGGAGAATACATTAACTCATATTATTCTCTATTCAAGATTACAAATAAATGTTGTAGAAATATGTTTTGCATACTTGTAAGTAGTATAAGTAGTATTAATTGATATTGTCAGCTACGCTGGGTTCTTCGAATGGATGGGGTTTGGAAGGCTCTTCGTTGACGTTATTTTGCAGGTTTCTCTGAGTTCTAAGTAGGGTTCACAACTTTATCGTGGCCCATTTATATGACTCTAATTCTATCGTATGATGATGTTAACGAAATATACGTCCTGCCTACCCTCGTATGTAATTGTTGACTTAATTCGAATGAGTGAATAACAGAATACGCCAAATACGAGAATGGATTTTAGATACATATATTCCATGGATCCAGGCATACAATAAGAAAAGCGAATGTAGGTAATCCAACTCATTTTGATAAAGCGTGACTCAATATTTGTAGCCAGACAAGAACAAGCTAAAGACGTGATAAATAGGGTACGTGATAGACACACACGCCTACACAAAAAACGGTCAAGGTTAATAAGCGAACGATTGATAAGGTCAAAATGGGACTCAAGGTAAATAAACAAATTCGTCTGTCCGGAAGCTAGAACAACCCATGAGGGCTTGATATAGTACGAGACACTGCAGCCTGTAGACATCTTGTCTGCGTCTTAGCAAAACTGAATACATCTTATTTGTGAATTCCAGTTTTAATCTACCATTAAATAAAACAATGAATCTAGAAATATACATATGCAGATCTCGGTGTCTGGATCTTTACGTACGTGTGGAACCTTATGTCAGGAGTGAAATCACTTGACTTCCAACTATTGAAGGACAAGTTCAAATATTGCTCCGTTTGATTCAGTTTGGACAGTTGATTAGTGCATCTACTTTACATTATGGTCTTAGCTTAATACTGACCTCTGTTTGAATACTTAGTGAAATAATCATCACCCATTGAGCGAGTGTTGTAAAAGTGACGATGAAATAGTGATTAGAAATCCGTAAAACTAAATGAATATTTGAGATGTCATTAAATGACAGTAAACTTCTTTTACTAACCTTGAAACACTACAAGGTTTAGTGATTACTATTAATGCTTTTTCCACTGAATTTTGTTGTGTTAATCGTCAGAAACTACCCACTTAAATAAAAACTTTCTCTTTGGCTATGGTATGGCGGGAAGATGTACAAGTGCATAGACATTTATGCGTCTAAAGGTACATAGAGAAGCTCTAAAATAACTTATCTAGGGTATAATATTATGCGACAGGTAAAATTATAAAATCGAAACTAACTGAAAACCTTCCTAGTTAAAGATAAACAACTGTTAAGCACCGTTGTAAGGAAAACTTATACAAACATATGCATCAGAATAAAAATTCAGATTCAGAGGGAATAATTGAAATATTTTATACACAGGATCCCTTACTTTGCCAAGCATACATTATTGAATAATGCAATTGTTAGTATCTAAAATGAGCTTATTAAATGTAGTTGAGATTCAAAATCTTGACCTAAAAAAGGTAGACATATTCCATGAATGTAAACTTCCACCAAAAGAAATAAAGTGTGCGATTCGAACAAACACCAATTGATCTATTAAAACAAAACAAGCAAAAGACACTTACTTCTTTGCTTTACTATACTTTAGTTAGAAATATGCTTATCCTTAGAATAAAAATAGCATAAGCAGACAAGTGTTGACTACTAAGAGTATGGAAATGACAGTTATTGTTTCTAATGTTTGTTACGATGTCAGATAAGAGACACTGTAATCCAGTGAAGAGAATATAGTTTAAAGTAATATCGATAGTTATTATAGTTATTGGAATAAAAAAAGTATGTTGTAAAATGTTATAATTTACAAAGACAAAAGAAAAACAATCTGGAAAATATTTAGTTATATATATGTATGATGGATTTCTGAATCAATACAAAATATTCCGCATATTCTCCTCACGTTTTATACTAGAATTTTTATATGAAAGCTCAGGAGTGTAGATAAGACACGTTGAAATAACATAGAATCGAAACGATGGTCACATCTCAGTAAATCCCTCACTTATCAATCATGATACGGTTTTGTTTAGATGATGAATTTTGATCAGTTAATGATGCTACCTCATCTGTTACTAACTTAAGAGCAGCAAGTTCAGCTTCTAAATCACCAAAGCTCGGTTGTGTTTTTCCCGGTGATGGTTTCTTCGGTTCAACAAGGAAATTGTCAAGTTCTTGTTCCAAATCGCTCATATCTTCCAATCCAATAGAGGTACGTCCAAAACTGGAAACAACATCTGAGATCTGGAAGAAGTGAAACGTTTTAAAGAACATAATGATGTTTATCACAAGTTCGGAACTTTTCTGTTTAGGAGATAGTAAATAGAGGCTTAATGGTTCAAGTGTATTAACAGTTAGGATAACAGTTACACAGATAAAAAAGTAAATAAAACATACATACTCAATGGTTGGATATTCTTTAACTTTTAGGTACGTGGAAAGTAATACTATGTTAAAAGAGATATCCTCTATACAAATGAGTAATGCCTTTTATGACGTTCTTTTAACCGGTCTATTTATAGACTGTGCAAGATGAATAATGGACGTAAAAATGTTCCAAGCGGGAGAACGGTTCGTAACTATAGGGTACAAAGACAGTATATTATTCTAGATAAGTTTTACACAGTTATTATTATTTTACGATTATACTACTGAGTAATAATTATGCGTGAAGCCAATGTATGAACAGGATATATGAATTTAAAACAATTAGATTATTTAACTCATTAGATGACCTACATGAATGTTATTTTTAATAAACCCTTCAAAATAGTTGTGTTTGTGTGTCAAAATTTTTCAACGACTACTTATACAACAAAAAATGGCGATCTCAAAATTGATAAGGTCTGTTATCAGAGAATCCGTGACCAGTGAAGTTCAACTGTGTCGCATGCTAGGCAGTTACCCACTGGAGATAATGGAATATGGTTGCATAATGTCGTGTACTGATTGAGGTTAGACACTAGCACCGTTGGATACCGACTTAGGGGTCTGAAGGTTAAGCATTTGCGCATGAAACGCAAGGTCCTGGGTCCGGGTCTAGTGTGAGGGATCGTGAATGCACACTGCTGAAGAGTCCCATACTAGGGCGAAACGCCTGTCCACTGCTTCCATGTTTCCGATTGTGGTCTAATATCGATCGGTTAATGATTACAATCAAACTTAACAATCTTTACAGCCCCATAAGTTCTAATTTTTAACGGATATTTGATCAATATAATCAACCATATCAAATCAGCTCACGTAGATAATGAAACTCGAAGTCAAGAATGCAGTCTTGTACTGTGCAAAATGATTACATTTGTCACATAAAACAATCGTACTGAGTGCATGTGCTGAATTAAATAAGTCCTCATGTGGGAGACATGTTTGAATATTCAGGGAATCAAGGTACCATTTTATTTCTTTACGAGCGAGTTTTTAATTTTAGGCTACAATGAAGGGACCTGATACAACAACTGACATAAAGGTAACTTTTAAGGGATAACTCTGAAGAAAAATATCCGAATTTGAATTCCTAGATTGGAACTTTTACGAATTCATGCAAGGACTTTACACCTGTAAATAGCATTATTACATTTTACAATGAATCAATGGCTAAATCACTCAAACACCAGACATTGAATAGCACGTTTGAAACTGATTCTGACTATTATGCTTCGATCTTATGAGTGAATGTCACTAATTTCCATAGAAAAAGTGGGTTAAAGGCGACAATAACAAGTTTTTACTTAGTTACTGAGCTGCAAAATATTAAGTCGATAAATTTTTCAGGTGATTCAGTGTGAAACAAACAAAAATATAAGCATTGAAAACCACGACAGAATAATGAATAAACTTTCTTAATGCAAATAATTATTAACCGAAGATATTTACCTCTTGACTTTCTTGAATTCTATCCATTACGTCATTCATTACACCTTCTGCTTTACTCAAAGCATTAGATCCTCCTACAGCTTGTCTGAGAGCTTCATTAACGCTATTTAGAACAAGTACAATATTCCTGTTTTCTGTTGCAGATTCTATATCAATCAACATTGTTTCCAGATTATTAAGTTGTAATTGCTTTTGTTCTAGAGATTTCTCTAACACCTTCGTCCGACGTAATAGAGATTTTGCTTCTGAATTCCTGTTAACAAGAGACAGTGTAAGATTAAAAACATATTCGCAAATGCAAAGGACTAGTTAAACAATTTTTAAAAAAGTTATTTAATAGCTGTAATTTTAATAAACCAGCAATGAGTGTGTGGGTGACTAACAACATATAACCTGGTATGCATGTACATCGGTTCAAGTTGCCATAGCCCATTAGCTCACCGATATGAAATCGTCAGGTCAAATCCCAGAATAGTCGAGGTAGTAACAGAATGAGTGTTAATAAGATTAGGTATCGAAGGTACGATTCGAGAGAATATAAATTAGTGAAATCAGAACCTATGAACATAGCTCAGTTCAACTGTCACTGACGTCATGGACTTCGCCCTCGGGTCTTAACTTGCTGATTTTAGTATTGCCACGTACCAACAGACCTACCTGGCACGGTAGGACCTAAAGGCACACGTGCTCCAGCTAATACAGCTCGGTTGAGTCATCACGATAGGCAAGCCCGACCACCATGTCAAGGTAGCAGCTACGGTCAGGAATAAGTCAGTGTACATGTACTTACCTCTTATCTAGCAATAAGGACTTGATATGACTTCGACGTTGTTCTATAACAGTTTCCAATCTTTTCTCTTCATTTTCAAGCTGTTTAATTGTAGATTTGAGTTGGACAATCCCACTTAGTGCAGATGATTCTATTTTTGCAGCGTCTGGATTAGTTGGTTTGTTCGGTCGGCTATTAATATCTTCACCAACGCGAATAATCTATTAAAATAGAGATATTGCATTAGATAGTCAAATGTAAAAAAGCTTGATTTTTATTTTACCATGTAGCATACTAAAACTACCGTACTATTAAAACATGAAACTGATATCTACAAATGAGTTACAAATGCCACGCTAGAGGATTCCGTACAGCATATTATTTACCGACTCTGAGACAATGAAAAAAAAGCGCGAATGGTCATGTTGCATAATGAAAAAAATCGTGTTGGTCTAGAATATAGTAGTTCATTAAAATACAATGGATGAGGTCGTAACAAACATAAAACTCAGTCACAACCCAGTCATAGTTATGTGCTACATTCTCCACAAAAGCTAGATACATCTTTTAACTGAGTGAAATATATCTTGGTTATTCTTCTAATTCTTTGATTGAAAAATATTCTACAGAACAAAGACATTTCAAGCCATTCAAGTACACTGGAATTATTTGTTACAAACAAATAAAATCTCATTAAAGTGATATATACTAACAATTTATGATGCCTACGACGATCAGTTGATATTTATTGTTCATTTCTTATTATGAAAACGTATGATAAAATATCTACATTACTGAATGATGAGACAAAAATATTGCTTAAGCCAGTTGAACAACCTATTAGGCCAAAACATATCCTTTAAACTGACGAAGTTTTGAGGATACGTTAGTAGAGAGTAGTAAAATGACAATCAGTCTCATGAGTTGTACGATAATATTCTATTATATGAAGTAATTCCTTAGTTTATGGAGAAGTGTATGCTTATAGTGTTTGATTACCGTTCATATACCCATTTATAACTTTTGGACATAGCTTGTTTACTGTAACGCTTTGTATATGGGTATGCTAAAATTGCCTGATCATAATATAATATTCAAAACAGTTTAAGTTACTATATAAATTCGACAATCAGTAATCTATCATTAAATGGGTGTTGAACATACCTGAATCGGTTGGGAATCTGAAGCAGGCGTGGTTTCCACAGAAACGCAGTGTTTGATATTACTCAATAAATCAAATATGTATTCACGAGTGGCCACATGGGAATAAAAGTTTGACAAGGCTGAGTTAAAAAGCTCTAGGTCATACACAGCTGAATGTGGTAATAACCTCTGGTCACGGTAATTGTCATGAAACCAAGACAAAAATTCCACAGCGGAATTTTCAGCGAACTGACTGAACACAAACTGCTGACCCGATGTATCAGTCTCTAATGGATTAGAGGATGGCTGACTGAAATATGAGAATATTCAAAAGATAAAACGACCATTTGAAGTTAGTCCAACGCTAGTGTAGTAGAAACATCAAACAATCATCTGAGTGGGTACTAGATATTTTATAACTAGCAATTAAGATAAAACCTTGAAAGCAACAGAACCATAAAACTTCTCAAATAGTACGAGTACGATTACCCCTCCTTACATCGAATACCAGTTATAATGACTTTATACTCAGTATCTACGATCTAAAGCTTAGGAGTGTTTTTGACGCTAACTATAGTTGGTATGGATTAATATATTTGATTTACTTCGTGGTATTTAAAAGATAAAAAATCTTTGGGGTAATGAATTCGTACAAGTTGGGAATTATTTATATGCCTTAGATTTTAGTTTGCAAACAAATCACATTGAATATATCAATTTATTGATACCTTAAAACCTGTTTGTACTGAAATCTCAAATATATTAAGCAAATTAATTAAGCTTACGACTTAAGTATAACTAATGGACCAAATAATCCCCTCTGCTGCTACAGAACTCGAAAAGATAAGGACACACGCTATTAACTTTTCGTTGCCTCCGCCTACACTCCTACTGATTGCAGCTCGGACGAAGTTAAAGATGGATTTTTCAGGAAGCTACTCTCTGATGTAGTGGTGGTGGCGGATTATTTTAATACTCAAGTAGGTAAACTAAACCAAACCGAAAGGCGATCGGGCTGATCTTAAAGTGTTTCGGTTAAACGAACAGATAATGGTGACTGTTTGTTGCAATTTTGCTCAGATAACCGTCTATTTCCGATGAATACAAACTTTAGACATAAAGAGAAACATCATCTGACGTGGCGACCCATCGATGGACTCAAATAGATCACGTTGCCTTTAGCCATCGTTGGAATAGGTCGGTAGAAGGCTGTCATTCATCCTTGAGCACACGTTTAGACTCGGATCATGCTCTAGTTTGGGCACATATTTGTCAGCATATTACTGGACGTAAAAAAGCTACAGCAAGAAAACCCCTTAGAGTTTAACTTAATGATGAAAAAGTTAAGAATATATTTCAGGAACAACTAGAGGAGTTAGTCAACCGTAAAAGTGATGTCCACTCAGATGTAGCTTGGTATGATATCCAAAAACCTATGGAGACAGTGATGATATCGAATAGTAATTTAAACTAGACGGTTAGAAAAAACCAGTGGGTTTCGGCGGTGTCTACAGTACTGATAAGTGCTCAGGAACTCATCCTTTCTGGCTCAGAACACGATGAGGAGCGTGGGTAGCTTAAAAGTAGGCTGACAAAAAGCCTATGTAATCGTCGTGGGTAGTGGTGGTTAAGGGTAGCAGGAGAGATGGAAAATGCAGAAGCGATGGGTAACAGTAGACAACAGTCCAAACGTACCGAAAAACTGGTATTAAAAACCCATCTGTTAGTGAAAATGACGAGTTGTTATTCACTCTCAATCCCGTAGACTGGACCGATGAACAGAACATTTTAGGGGAAAGTTTAACTTGCATTCAGCCACAGTTTAGTTGCCCACTATCTCCAAGTAACCTAAATGGGAAATCGATTTACGTCCTCCAACTATTAGTGACGTTGAGAAGGCTAAAGGTAATCTAAAGAGAGGGAGAAAAGCAGGGCCTGATGGACTAGTCCCTGAAAATTTTAAGGGTGGTGGTTCAGTTTTAGCGGTTAGATCGACTGAAATCTTGAATAAAATCTGGGAAGTGGACGTAATCCCATTTGACTGATCTCGATATCTGGTCTTACGTTGTAGCTAGCTGATTGATAAGAAAAGACAAAAATCATTTTGTGATAATCATAGAGGAATCAGTCTAACTGATATAGTATAAAAAATATTAACCTCACTAATACTTTGACGGCTAACTAAAGCTCATGAAGAGCGAACCTGAGAAAACCAGACTGGTTTCAGGCCTATAAGTAGATGTACAGACCAAATATTCATTATTCAGCAGATTCTGGTATATAGACATACTTTTCGACGTCTTACTATAATTGAAGTCCTTGACCTTAAAGTGGCGTTCGACTCCGATGTCCGTGAGGTTCTATGGTAGTATCTATCATTGAAAGGTGTATCAAAGTAGTACATTAACCTTCCACATGTTCTTTACTCAAACACTACTGGTCGAATCAGAGCTTATGGAGAACGGTCATCGGAATGCGTTATTTCAAGTGGTATACGTCAGGGTTTCCCGTTTCCTTTATTTTCATTTAACTTTCTCCATAGATATGCTTTTAGGTGCAACACTTCCATCGTCTGATTGATCTTTTACCAGGAGATTCACTCGTTGACTTAGAATACATAGATAATATAGTTGTTTGATGAAGACGCTGAAAAAATCCAGTCTTCTGACCACCACCTTTAGCAACAGTACAAGCATGTTTGGGATGCAGTTCTCTCCCTTGTAAAACGTCATTTCAGCATTGGCTTGCGTCATCGACTGAATTAGTGATAGGGAGTGAACTGGTTGAACGAATTGACCGCTCCGCTTATCTTGGGAGTCTCATCAGTACTGATGGTCTGGTGTCTGAAATCTCGGCACGAATTCAGAAGGGTCGATTGGCTTTTGTCAAATTGCGTCAAATGTGATGCACGCGAGGTATCCTTCTACTAACCAAAGGGCGAGTTTACTGAGCAGCAGTTTTCTCCGTTTGAGGTGTGAAACATAGCTAAGAAGAAAAGAGGATATTCGTCGGTTACTGGTATTCGATCATAGGTTTCTACGAAGCATCGTAGAGTAAGGAATAGAGTACTAGGTTGAGATAGGAAACCTAATGACGAGGTAGTAAATTTTCACCAACTGAAGTGTTTAGGATATATGTTACGTATGTCCAACCACCGCCTACCTTGACGGGCGATACCTTCTGGTGCAGGAGTAGGCTGGAAACTGGGGGCAGTCAAGCCAAAACGTGGCGTCAATTGACGAATTCACTGAAAATTGGACTGAACCATGTTTATGGGTGTAGACTGCGTAGTTGAGATCCGAGTGATTATCGTAACCAGTGATTAGAAACTGTGAGTGATATGGATGGAACTCGTTTGCAATGGCGCACATGTATCCGTTCCTTATCTTTCTCCAAATCCTGAGGCTCTAAATTCCTCATACCCTTGCTTTGTTCTTATTTCACTAATTTATATTTTCTCGAATCGTATCTTCAATGCCTAATCTTTATTGCCACTCACACTGTTACTACCCGTACTAATCTGGGATTTCGCCTGACGATTTCATCTCGGTGTGCTAACAGGCTATGGCCTGGAAGATTTAGTCATAAGTATACTACTGTTAAAAACAAAATGGATTTAGGTCTTCTCGAGATGGTATATTACACGGATAATGTAGTGTTAAGACGACAGAACACCAGAGAGCAGATTTACATCTGAGGTCACTATGGTAGATAACTATTAAGTTTTTTTTACTTACTAAGCACTTTAGCTGATATTATTTTTTTATCAGACTCTGCTGCGGCGTTTTCATGGAAAATACGACCGTTATATAACTTGGTTAGTGACGAAATGAACCACTAGGAACTTAAGCCGAACTGGAGACGGTGTCTTATTGCCTTACAAACTTTAGACTGAACATATAGACACGTTAGTACACCCCAAGAGTACTACAATGTCATCGAAAAAACGTTAACTGAGATACATACATCATACTTCTGAAAAACCATTGAAAGGCAAAGTTAAAAACAAACCAACCCAATTAAATAGTGATATGCCCATGATATTGGCCTGTGTACAACATATGAGAAGGCCGTAAACATATTGCCTAAGATACTTCTGTTTGGAGTTACTGGTCCTAGTACACCTTCAGACACCAAATCAGAAATAACCTCTCCAAGTGATTGAGGGTATAAATCTATGCCTTCAACAGGGAAGTGTCGAGTAAACAGCTTTTGAAGTGACTGTTTACATATTACAAATGCCTTGTGATCTTTTGCATAAGATAGCAATATCCTTTTCCAAAATGTGATTTTAGCATTATAATTGACTGGATCAATAACTTTAGAGCGCCTTATAGGTTGCATAAGCGAATACATAGCATCATCGTCATCCCATATATCTGGCAACCGAAAACCAGCTGATTTGCTATCCATCATTATTGTTTGGCTGACCTTGACAAGAACGGCCTTCAACCGAGACTCCAGACCTCAGTAATAAGGGTAGGTGCGTTGACTTATATTAATCCTTGCAGTGTGTAACATTGTGCAGATCCAACCTCGGAAGGTGCTGATATTACTTGTTCCGGTAGAGAATTCCAGTAATTCACTACTCAGTGAGAGAAAGGAAACTCCAGACGTAAACGATTAATCATTTATACAGATTAAGAAAACAAGAGGTCCTAGTAATGAACCTTTAGGGGCCCCAATAGGACGTATTATAGCCTCAGAAAAAGTGAAGTTATCACTGACCTTAAAAGTAGATTATTTCGATATGAAGTAAGTTAATCAATTATTGGTGATTTGATACCCAATCATCTGAACTTATTGTTAAGATAAATATGACTGATTCTATCAAAGAATTTCCAGAAGTCAAGGCATATGACGTCAACCTTCTCCTTTCAATCAAGGATGGTTGTCCATCTGTCCACCGTGGTCAGCAGGTTGGTTGTGTACTAGTGACATTTTCCGAAACGACGCTATTGAGGCGAAAAAAGTGTGCGGATAGTAATTAGTCACACGGGTTGTCGCCTAACAGGGACTTCATAATTTTTGAGGGTATCGAAAGAAGTGCTACCGGTCTGTGGCTTGAAGTTGTGCTCTGTCGACCTCCTTTGAAAATCAGCGTAGTGTGGGCTAGTTTCCAGTGTTCTGGTACCGTGCTTCGATTTGGTGGGTGTCAGAACACTACGTCAAGTGGTGTTCCTAATAGTGCCTTCTGAGGCTTAGCAAACGAAGAGTGTGATTCTTGATGTATGTAGGTTGCTCATAGGTTTTGAAGGCCGTTTGCGGGGCAGACTGTCTTGTAGTACTTAAGATCGTGAGCAGCAAGAAATCCAAATGAGCGTCCACGTCTAGTTGAGGGTGAGCTATCCAATCCACCAGTTGCGGATTGTCTTGTATAGCAGATACATGCAACCGTTTGAAATTCCAGAGCCTTTTGTTTGTAAGACGTATTAGTTTAGTTTCGCAGATGAGATTGAAAGCTGTGATGGCGTGACCACTTTATTCCAGGAAAGGCAAGACTGAGTTGTCGAGTAGGAATTATTTGTTAACAAATGTGCAGTCTAAGCGCAACGGAGTCTGACTATTTCTCCAACGAGTTTCTGAGTTGACGTTTTCGAACAATCCCAGATCTTCAGAAGTTAAAGAACCGAGCTTCAGTAGAGCTGTCACCTGTAATGTACGCATGTTCAGTGAAGTTGACTTTAGGGAGATTGCAGTTTCCCAGAACCAGGATGTGAGTGTATCTGGTACGAGTATGAGGAGATAACCCCCCAAGCATGCAATCTCCAAACATGGTGGAGATGCGAGAAACGGAGCTCCACACGTGAAAGATTAGATTTCGGTTTTTGAGCTTTCTTAGAATGTCATCTTAAATGATCAGTTCAAGATGAAAGCAAAAGATAAGACATAATAATAGCGAAATTACAGTCCAGTATACGGCAAGACAGTATTTCATCACCCTGTAACCTGTGGTAAGGTAACGTAAATAGGTTGAGGTTTCTCAATGTGTCTTCATAAGATAGGTCAGAGAGAATTTTTACAATTTTAGTCCCTTGTCGTTGAATTCGTTTTAGCATATCAGCCTTATGCTTGGAATAAGGAATCCTTTCTTGAAATACATAGTCCGAAAGCGACCTCGAAAAGTCGGGTATAATACCCTTAGAACTTTTTTATGCAAGTGTTCAAACGACTTATGAACAGCCCATGAGGCCTTGAATCCTTTGGCAATGGCAGCCATGGAGTTGCTCGTAGTATTAAGGTCGTTGCTTATTGTGACTCCCAGATCATTATAGCCCACTACTCTAGGCAACACACATCCACATATTGTTTAGTGATATGAATCATCACAGTTATTTATTTAGATCACATTTTTGTTAGAGTTAACTTTCAGTGATCAACTCCCCATTCATTATACCAGTGAATTTAGGTCATACCGTAATATTATTCAATGTGAAATGGTGTGCATGGGTCTCCAACTATTAGTTTCATTTGCGAAAATGGAACAGATGACTTTGCTACAGTTGGTAAGTCACATACAGTTAAAACGAGTACACCTTGGCTAACTACACTTTTTAAAGATTCTCTCTTTGATAGAAATGTACTTACTCGTACTCGTTTCCTAATGTTATTGGGAGAGTCACTTATGGAGTTTGTGATTTCATAGTGGATCCCAAATTTCTCATATTGTTATTTCAGATCCAGATGAGAGATCTCGTTGAACTCTTTACTTTCATCTAAGAAAATTACATTTACTGGAATATTTCTATGTTTATTTGCAACCCAGTCTTCTCTGTCAGTGACAAATTTGTCAAGTAGGATAAGCCTTTCCTCAGACCATGTTGTCCCCTTGATAAGAAACTGTTCCCTTCCGCAATGTTTGAAGCAGTTGTTCAAACAATCTTTTTTCATTCGTCACACCTAGGTGTAACCAGAATTTTTTATCGTTGTTCCAACAGCTGGGCTTTCCTGATTTTCCATTTACGTGGTGTAGTTTGTTGTGGACTACAACCATTTGTGAATCTAAATGTCGTCTGTGTGTTTACTAGATCATTACTTTCCCTTGCATTTGTCCTCTTTCACGTAAATGTGGTAAGGAGATTAAGACAAACTCAGTACTCAAAAGGCAGTCAAATGTATTACTCAGTTCATACTTGACGTTTTAGAATAACATATCTGTATCTAAAATCTGTCTCAGTCGCCGCGTTCCAGCTTTGGACTTGGAGAAGTCATGTTGAAGATTTTACTCATTACAGCGAAAAATCTTGTTTGAAGTTAGAACCTAACTAATACCTAGGGTCCACAAACAGTGCATTGCCCATGCGATGCGTGGAGAGTGTGTAGTCAAATCATATCTCTTAATTAGTTTGAAATTAATGGACACATCGAAAGCGCGCACAATGCTTCTAGGTTGATGGGATTTTGAAGTGTTATCAAAAATTATGTATAAAATCAGTTATAGTAACTTGTTTATGTTGCGGAGAAAATTGATATTGATATTTGTGGCATCATTTTACTCATCATTTCGTCAATTACTGAAGCTCATCAGCCCATTTAAGGGGAACTGTGTTGTTTACCGGTTTATCCCGAGATAAAGGAGATTAAGTAATCACAGACAAAGAGAGTGTTGATAATAGGTGGAAAGACTACTTCGATCGTTCGTGTTGGTATTCAAAATTTTGCTAGAATAAGGTTACTGATACGAGACATCGTGCTGCTCAATAGGTGACCAGTTAAGGGGGCGCAATTTTCGTGTTGATCCGAGGTATTTATGAACATGACTGTGTAAGTTTGGAAATTGAAGGTTGGATTTTATTCTTCTGTTATCTACGCAAGCAGCATCATTTTCAGAAGACCAAATGCTCCCTTTTTAGACTTACTATCTTGCTGCAGCTTTAATTTTCAACCGCTTTTGAAGATCAGTGAACCACGGTTTCCTGTGCTCTACCTCGGGTATCCAGACACCCAAGTTTGCGTTTGCTGCATCCTCATTCAGCTAATTTAAGGCTGGTAACCAGATCAATTAACTATGTAGCTTACCATTAGAAAAAGAAATTTGCGACTGGGTTTGGCGTTGTTTGTTCTTTGTATTTGTAGGTATAATATTTCCTATTTCCCTATACTGTGTCATAGGATAGTGCGGTTTTATTTATGAACTCTCTCAACTGATCACCAAATATAATTTTTAATAATTTGAAGGTTTTGGGTTCAAAGACACTGGTTTCCAGTCCGCAGTCCTTGAAGCTACTACTTTGACATGTAGAATAAGAATCACTTCCATTCACTCGGCAGTTGCTAAAATGTACAGCAGGCGGTAAAGCTGGTTGCATACGTATCTTGAGGCCTCAGGAACCAACAGATCATTGTGTACCTCGCATCAGGCTTCCTCAAGAACAAGAAATCAAGCACCGGAACAATCTTTGTAGAATGCACATCAAAAAGTGCTTCTATTTGTTCCTCAATATTCTGTGTGCGATAGTTATTTGACGTCTTGATACTAAAGATAATCCTTAATTCCAGTTTATATTATTTGATCACTCATGCGTTTATTGTTCTCTTTTAGTCCCCAACATTTTAGACTTGAGAAGCCATTGTTACTGCATTTGTGACAGTATTTTCCACCGCCAAAACCCTTTTTTTATCTGGTATGTCTTCGAGATGGCTTGTTAATAGTTTCATCCATGTGGAAGTGGTGTAGATTAGAAATGTTGTTTGGGAAACGGTTTTTTAGTTGATTGAAGGCAAGCAGTTCTGAGTCGTGCAAATGTAATAGTGGTCTATTTGATAGGTGGGAAGATGGTGGAATGTACTGGATACAATAGTTATCGACATTGAAGAAGCTTCAGACACGATAACTCATTCGACCTTGAACCAACACAGCTATTGCTTTTCGTGTTTTTTCGATTTCGTTGGCACGGTGATAATTACAAATCGTTTTTGAATTGAGAGATGCTTGACAAAGATCATAATCATATGAAGGGCATTCTTGATCAATACGAAGTGATTATTCTGTTTTTTCTAACTCATCATAGGTTGTTGAATGTTTGGGAAAAGGATGTCAAGGGACATCATATAAGTTGAGACGTCGAGATAATTCCGAATATTTTGTATTAAAGATGGTGAGAGAAAATTTCACATTCAGAATCCTGGAAAAAGATAGAGTGTAGAAGTCTAGACCATGGATATTTATTGTGTGAGGAGTTTTATCATATTCAGAAGTTCATACATCCATACTTATCAAGAATTTTAGAAATTCATATGTCAATGAACTCAGAAGTAAACTTCATTTTTTATATTACCTATGTCAAGAACTCGGCAATTTATTTGTCTGTTATCCGTAACTATATCGATCTGCCAAGCTTAGACTCCATAATTAAAGACAACATAGAAAAATCTAGGTTGGAGTGGAATGTAAGAAATACAGTTTTAAATATCTACCTTAAGGAAAAATAGTTAATATACCGAATGTTTGGAAGCGTACTGACTGTTATAACTTCACTGAAAAAAGCGAATTGTGGTTCTATGTAACTTGTTCATATGTTAACCCTGTTAAAGCTATTTTCATCCTGGTAATATTTTTCTCAGTGAGAAAGGATTTTTTATGACGGATATTTGGGGTCCGAATCTGATGAAGTATGCTCGTGGAGTAGATGTTTATGTGCAATGTATGTTAAAATTAAGCAACACCATATTATTTTTAGTGACAATTTACTATTTTCTCTCTATTCACACATAGGACACCAGAATGAACCCTATTTTTAAATTTAACACATTTTGACCTGGGCATGTTTATCATAAATCTAAACACTTGATTATCTTTGCTCAAAGATTTTTTGTAAAATATATGTACCAGTGTTTGAATCTTATTAGCAGATGGGTTTCATGTTTATGAGTTTTAACGTAGTTAATGCTTTTCACATTTCTGCGAGACTTAAGATTCATTAAATAGTTTTCCCAGTAACAGCATGTTATTGTCTGAAAGTGTGTCATTAGAATACGTAATGATGACAGAATTTGATATACTAATTAGGAATTTCTGAAATTTTCTAATCCATCTCCATCTCTCAATTTTGAGCAAATGTGGGGTTTTTGTGTGAACTACTGATTCGTTTGTATTTGATGACTGTTTGATTTCAAAATCCAAATACAATACGTTTGTTCGTGCTCATATATTTTTTCTCGGTTAAGTTGCGTTATTTCTGGGATTCCTAGTTTATACTGCAATTCAAATACTTCAAATAACAACAGTTTCCCCCAAAGTTTGGGGACATATTAGCGAAAATTCAAACGTTTCCAAACATTTATGGGAGTTTCCTCAAACCTGAGGAAATTTCGCTCTTTTCTTTTAAGTTTCTTGAAACTCTCTGTTGTGGCTTCATAAAAATTTTCACAAAACAGATAATATTTCCCCCAAAATAGAGAGATTAAAGTGCTCTGGTTGTTACGAATGGATCAGAACTCAAGTCAAAGAGGAGGCATACTTGGAAGTATTGTTATTTGAGTTCAACTTGGGCGCACAGTAATCTTTAAAGTAACCTTTGGTGGGACCACAATTTATGGACGATATTCGAGCAACGCTATAATGACTTTGGAATGTTTACAAATTTACTAGCAAATGAAGGCTTCGTTTTAGCGTAAGAAATTAGGATAAGGGTTTATAGTTGAGCGTTAGGGTTAGAAGTTAGATTCAATGTTTTCATCCCGAAATGACGTTAGCTATGATGTCAAAATGGTATTTAGCCAAATATGTGAATAAATTTTGAGCCAAAATAAAAGATCTGCTACCTTAAGTCTGATTGCTTCGTTCATAAACTATAGTCTCGCTCAACCGTTATACATACAAACATTGCAGCCATCCATTTGTGAGCCATAGTGAGTCTATTATTCTTCTTCTGGCTAACGGTCTTCAAATTGTTAAGTACAAATGTAATTGTAAAAGATAAATATTTTCATTTAACAACTTTTTAACTATGCTTGGAGTTTGCATAAGAAGAGCATAACTGATACGACGATCACAGTCTATCGCCATTATCTTTAACTACACGCGTCAGCAGATACTGGGAAAATGTTTATTTTTGATAATTAGTGTTCAGTATTTATGTCTAATAACAGTTAAAGGAAGTATCTTAGATTTTGCTCAGTGAACTTAACGATTTTGATTCAAAGCATTATATTACTAAGTCAAGATTTTGGCATACTTTCAGTAAAGAAACAAGTAAGTTAAATGCTATCCACTGAGTAGGGAGTTAGAATAGTAGGATGGTTAAAGTTAGAACGAAATCTTCACGGTGACAAAGTTTGAGTTAGAAACCCTGAAAAATGTTTTAAAGTTTAGACATATTTAAGAAGACGTGAAAGAGGTTCTGATCGCACATTTCTGTACTAAATCAGAGTCTTATTATTTATTTAAAACTTAGTTACTGACCGTAAATCAGATTTAGTTATAAGCAGATATCTTGTGTGACTTATTCTGTATGATCCGTTAACCCTTGATCTATTATTTACCTTTACAGCATTTGAATACATAATGAATCCTGATCTTTTAGGTGAATTAGCGATTGAATGTCCTCCAGATGAACTCCCACGAAGACGTTTACGTAAGTATAAAGTGTTCGTTCCATGGTTTACATTTACACCTATGAATTTTGTCAGCGATCGCTAATAAAATCAAAAAATAATCATGGTCTTCTGCAAACATAAATCGCGGTCCTGTCTGACTATAGTTATAGAATATTTTTCCCGTTAGTTTCTAGGCATTTCACTTTATTTTTTTATTTTATCATCTAGTCGTGTTGTTTTGACGTTGATTTGTGAAAATTTTTCTTTTTGGGGGCACAGTTAGCCAAATATGATTAGTTACATTAGATCACAATAATGCTTGTTTTCAAAGAAATCCACCGTCACACATTAAATGAAGATGACATTTCGTCATGTAATAGGATAAAGAGTAATCTAGTGAAATACCGATTGACGAGGTTTTATGCATAGATACATTGACAAAATTTTAGAGGTTTTTACTTTCGTAACCACTCTTTCCATTACTTTAATATGGCATTTATTTGGAATTGTTTTAGAAAATGGATTGGTTATTAAAGACAGGAGTTAGAGACTAATGTCGCCGTAGAAGGAAGACTGGGATGTTGTACTTGTGAGTGAATAACACAGAAAAAGGGACTTCATCCCCTTTAAAGCTCACTTATAATCGTCTACGACTAGGAAGAAGAAGACGAAAACAAAGTTCACTGAATCACAAAAGTGGATATTGTGATAACTTTTTCGCCATATTTGGGGTTGATTGTTTCGTTACATCCTCATATAGGCCGATTTTGTTTAAAATCATTGACCTCTATACACCCACAAAATAGTGAGGTAAAGTGTACTCAATGACATATGACGGAAGAAATTTATAGTGTGAGTTCGTAAAAGGTGAAGGCATTGCATATAATCGTGAAGATAAGTTTTATAATTACTCTCAGTAAAACAGTGCTCATACACTAAAACTTTCCATAATTTAACCAGTGGGTTGAGACATAATCGCTAATTTGTTTTTAAGGGGGATCAAAAGCGAGGGAATTATTGAAGCTGGGGTAAATACGACGTTTGCGAATTGGTTCCAAGGATAGATAGTATTAGAGTAGCTCAGACCTTATAAATTTCATTAGCAAGTAATCCTCGTAAAGAATGAATTTTAAGTGAAAAAGATTCACTGTTAATGTTGAGTTAGCAATGCTATAGCAAAGCGATTCAACACACTGGATGTAAGAACGATTTATTTAGTTTCTTGAACAAAAGGATTATGTTTCATTCAAACCACCTGTTCTATCAAGGATCAAGCCCTTGCTTAATGGTTATCAATTTGTACCATATGATACAACAAACTACCAAGAATGTGAAATGTAAGGTACGGCAAAACAAACTCTGTTTTAAGTCTATCTCGTATGCCAATACTACTCAGAATAAAGGTACAGTATTCCAGAGGTGGTAAAATTCGTTGGCCATTGTTATGGAGGTTGAGTGCTATAAATCCGTAAATCGGTCTAATACATCATGATTTAACCTGATGTGAATAAACTATAGTGATACCTGTAAGGAGATATGTTACGCAACAGAACAATTAAGAAGAAAGTTAGTATTCAATGAAATTTAAAAAATGTAGATTTTGTGCAATAACTCTATAAAACATATGAGAAAGTAACTACCATAAGAAGAAATAAAAATCACTGATTGTAAGTGTACAGTTGGTTATTTTTGACAGGTGATCAAAGTTTAAGATTATTTTTGTCCATAGAAAAAAGTAGGTATTCAAGAAAATGCCAAAATAGTAAGAAGCTTTAAAGTTTAACTTCAAGAATGATATTTTCAGCTTCTATGATCCAGTAACATTAAGCAAATAAATTGAATTATTGTTCAGGCTCAATTAAGGTAAACCTTTATAAATTATCGTTTCTTCTTTTAATTGAGAACGTAGATACTCATTTCTACTGATCTTATTTCAAATTATTTAGATAAAAATAAATAGCACTTTATTTAAGTACGATATTCGTTGATTAAATTATATATCTCTCAGATTGATACGATGTAATGTTTCTTAGTATTTGTTTAGGAAAGTTAGTTATGAAAACATGACAAATTGACTTGGTTTTGATATATTTAACGATCTCTATATGTTTGTGCATAATTGTTTGTTCATTAGTTTGAAATAAATCTTTTCTGAATTGTAAAATTGACTTTGTAGATCGCCAACGTAGATGATCTATGTCACAATGATTGGAGTTAGACATGAATGGTGTGATAAACTAGCTGACGTCGAAGTCACACCTCGTGGTCAGCACTTTACGTGGACCACCCCATTGACGTATCAAGGTACCATAGATGCTTTGAAGATTGTACAACACAGAGGACGTTATTATAGAAATATATTAGTTAAAGTAGATACAAGCGAAAGTAAGACCACTGCCGCATGGGCCAGTCCATGGCATACGACCAACTTATGCGCGTTGGTTGTCTCTGACCTTGACGAGGATCAATGATTTGCTCGGTATTTAATGATTTGGCTAGGGCTTAGTGACATTTCGCCGGCCCTCCAACTTGATTATAATTTGTGTGTCTAATCTTTAAGTAGATAAATCATAAATCACAATAATTATTTGTTATCACATGTACTTTTTTTATAGCCAGATACATTGAATGGTGTGCTCCTGAAACAAGTCAATTTGAATTTACTGATAAATCTGATGTATGGACTTTGGGATGTATAATCACTATTCTAATATATATTAAATATTTATTCAAAAATAAAGAGATTTTAGCAGTTGATCAACTCAAAGCAAAAGAAAATGTATTTCACCATTTATCGTCTACAGAAGAATTAGTAAGTGTTTTCTAAATGGAAAAAAAACAACTAATAAATATGTTTTGAAAACTTTATTTGTATGGGTATAAACTGTATACGAGTTTAAGATTAACGTTCATTAACTAAAATCTCTCCTTCTTCTATCAAACAAAATGTATCGTTGTAATCATTTTGTTGAGTTATATCTGAGAAAAACTTAAAAGAACTATTCATAGTGGGAATAAAATGCTATTGAATGGTGGTAGATGTTTTCGAAAAATGGATAAAGGAATTTCTGAAGAAAAGTTTAATCCCCTTTTATATAACTTCATTCTTATTTATTTGTTTCCAAGTATTATTTTTGGGAAAGATGATCATACAATACATATTTCTCAGGACATATACCACAATAATTTGCAAGGATTTGTATCAAGGATTGAAAATAATCAGTCGTTTTTGGTATTTGTGCATCCTGAGAGGGTTTCTTCGACATTGACTCTAGGTCATATGCTTGTTTTAGTAATGTCGGGTACTGGCTATCAATGGAATTAAGGAAGTGTTTTTTTATTCCGTTTGGGATCTTTCAATGAAAGATGCATTAATGTTTGGGGCAAAAAAGAGATGGGTTAGAGTTGTGGACACTGGGAATAATGGAATAATGACTAAGTATATAGGGGAGATTCGACTAATTGAGTGTTACAGAATGATTAAATGGGTCATTGAAAAGTGAATTTAAAATGGTTATTGATAATATACATGATGACGTAAAAAAGGGAAAATAACTTTACAGAAATGAACAATTTGAGCAACCATTTATTTAGGTACATGTAATGCTCATACAATGTGAGAGACCGGGAGAGTCTTCCAAATTTCTGCAAATTACTGCAAATGAACAAATAAATAAGAACTGAAATTTTAATTGGATAATGTAATATTTTTGTTGGGGATATTAAATTTGAAAATACAGTATAGTAGGAAGAAATCAACTATACGATCACTTCCTGATTTAAAGTAATTTTTATTTCAACTGACTCTCAATTAGTTTTCATATGCCTTAATTAAATCATCGCGACCTTTTATTCATGTGAGATTTATTCTGTTTGGCAAACGTTTTAAATAATGATGGTGGAATGATTTTTTTTACTATGAATTAATGTTCTATGGTCTCCATTAAATAAATCTTCCTTACAAAATTTGTCTTTTTGAGAGTCAGGCGCCATAGAAGAAAAGCAAGCTATGCTATCCCGGTATAAAGGTGTAGTTAAGAGATATTATCGATAGCATAATGATGTTACTTTTACAGAAAATAATGATATAATTTTATGCATTGATTATCTTATTGTTCATTTTTCCATATTAAGTCTATCATTTCATTTTCCCAATCAACACATAAATAAAAATAAGTTGGAAGTGATATAAATGTCATTTTTTTTTAAGATGAGCGATAGAATACAGTGACCTTGTATTAATTTATTAATTATTAAACATTGAAAGGAAGTGATAGAAAATTGTACATCTAACCTGTTGTTCAATAACCATTATAATGAATATCATGAATTCAGTGAAGTTAACATTTATTGTAAACATGAATATAAGTAAACATAAATAAGTCATGGTGACGCTCTATGTGATAAGCAACCAAATAGAATATATAAAATCTCATTGATATTCTGTCATTTTGACTACTTACCTTCATTTTTGGGACTAATGAGTAATGCCGTTCATTTTTTTTTACAAAAAAGTCAATTTCATAAAAATAAACGATTTGTAATGACAATGAGTTAATGATTAATAACCAATTCAACTGGTTCATCATAATGCTAATGATGATGATGATGATGATGATAATGATAATATGTACGACGTCTGTTTATTAAATATCTTTATTATTTTACAAAGTAATAATAATGATAATGGTTTCCTGTTTATTGATTAGTATATGGTTAAATAAACATACAAATTAAGTCAAGTGATATAAAGGGAATAATCTAAATGACTACTAATAGTTGAATATGTATCCATACATTTTCATTTGTCGATAAAAGGATATGAATTGAGTTAAATAAAAGTGAACTATTACAAAATAATGATCAATTATCAGACATTATGTTGTTCTACTAATTTTATATTAACATTCACTGAATTATTATTATTATTGAAGTAAAGAAAAAGACAACCATTACCATAGATTACCCATTAACATAAATTAGTTAAACCAAATATCTTTTACAAAAACAAACATACAAATTATTTATAATGTAAAATGCAAACATCCTGTATTCTAATGAACAAAAACAATCATTTAACTATTTGGCATTTATAAAAAGTTAATTTATATGAATAATAATTAATTCAATAAAGGTATAACAACAACAACAACTAATTCTAATAATCAAAGCAAACTATCTGTTTCTTCCTTAGCTATATCCGAAATAGTATATAACTATTATTCTAGGATGAAGATTCTTTAACAGTATTCTTTTACGAGTAAATAAAACTAAGTTTATGTATTATCTAAGTACTTTTTCAGTGTATATTTTTTTCTTAGTTATTCACATACTTTAATAATCATTTATATAACGATACCCTAAAATGTAATAATAAATTATGGTTGAATATAAAAGAATATAGTGATACCTGCATCGTAAGAATGAATGAGAAATCTTTTAAATTATTATAATGAGTTTTAAATGCATTGTTGTATTATCTAAATTTAATAGATTATGTCATAGCTCATATGGTATAAGTGAATATATGAGATTGTATTCAACCAGTTGTTTTGAGTGTATAATCGAATGAAAGTAAAAACCATTTGTTTCATTGAAATGGTATGATATTTAAAGACAAGGTTCAGTGGATAAAGCAGTAGACTTATAACTGTTTGGTAATGTATTGAAGTTTTGTATTCTTGTTTAGGTAGGTAGTAGAATATTTTCGTTAGTGTTCATATAAAATGTTCTAGTCTATCCTTAATAGATGAATATATACATAGTACTTAAATAAATATACTTTTATTTGTATACAAAACTTAGTTTTAGTAATATAATTTAATCGTTTTCACTTAAAAAGAGAAATCGACTGATATTTATCGTATGATTTTTCAGGTCTATTGTATTTGGAGTTTGAAACTGTTATCTACACTGACTTCAATCTGAATGTTAACTAAAATTCCAACCGCTAATATACAACAAAACCACTATCTTCTTGTTCGTTCTTATTAGCTATTATCACTGTTACACATTTTAAAAATCAGTCAATCTTTCAATAGGTACAATTCTTACGTAACATTCATGTCATGTCAGTAACAACGTAGAACTTCGTACGTACGTACATCAGTTCGAGTTGCCACACCACATTAGCACAGAGATGCAGTGGTCGATTCAAATCCCGTAGTACTAGATGTAGTAAAATTATAAGCTGTAATCAGAAAAATTAGGGTTCGAAGATGTTATTCAAGGAGTATAATCCAGTGAAATAAATTTGGAAAGAGAAAAAAGAAAGGGACATGGAGAATTCAGATAAGAATTTGGGAGAACACAAAGAGTGGATGCACCTGCGCCATTGCAAACGACCCTGAGCCATGTCATTCAGGGTCTCTAACCATCGGTTGCTATCATCTCGTGGTCCCCAACCAGGTAGTCTACACCTACCAACATGACTCAGTCCACTTGTCAGTGACTTCATGCACTTGTGCCATGTTTTGGTCTGGCCACCCTTAGCTTTCTTCCAACCTACTCCTATACCATCAGACATCGCACGTCGAGGCAGTCGGTCGTTGGGCATACGTAACACGTGTCCAAGCCATCTCAACTGATCAAGTTTCACTATGTCATCAATTGATTTGCCATCCTTAGCTAGTACCCGTTTTCTAACAACTGCATTACTTACGTAACATTATCTATGGGTTACGTTTTTTCTGTTAAAGAGATCCAAGAGTTATAGATCCTAACAGTTATTCAACTGATGGAAGTCTAAACTTAGAACTTTTCTAAGCAGAAGTAGTAAACTATTTGTTCTTTTGGTATCTGTGTGAAAATTCCTTTAAAAGTATAATAAATTTTCATATAACTACTTTTATAAATGTTTATAAACATTAATTAAAAGAAATTCATACCTGTTTCTTTATTTAACTAAAGGAAACACACAAAGAACTGTTTAGGTTACTTTCTCAAATGATGAAAAACAATCCATCTGAGCGTATAAGCTTAAAGTAAGTCATTCGTTTTTTTCTTTCTGTATAGAAATAAAATGATATATCACTAGTTTTTCTAAAATTACATAATTATTAAAACTGATTATTGTTTTTAATTGTTTCAAATTGTTTTTTCTAGTTTATTAGTAAGTTGAATATTGAACAGAATACAAGGAAAATTTTTTCATTTTATTTCTTGTTTTTACATTGAAGATTATTACAAGTTAAGTGTTTAAAAATTTTATTTGGTAAAGAATTAAAAGAAAGAAGCCCCCAAATGCCCTGGTTCGGCAGAGAGTGGGGAGAGTTCGCTCTCCCTCTCCAAATGCTCTCACACGTAAATATATCCTCTGCCAGGGAAGTCCTACTTACTGCATTCTCGTGGCCCGGGTGTTGCTTACGAAATTGAGAGGACAAAAAGCGAATGTCAGGCGCTTTAAACGGGTTGGTGGACATGAAGAGTCCACCTAGGGGAGTTGGAAAACCCTGATTCCAAACCAACGGTGCAGAGGGGCTCCAGTACCCCGAGGGAACAAAAGGCTTATGAACCAATCGTTGGTCACCGGCTACCATGGAACTGCATCTCCTTACGATGCTACACTGCCTTATGGATCAGACCTTCATGTCGAAGGCTCCGGGTGTGGCCCTCTGAGAAAACCACCTGCTTCGGTTTGGGCACCTGGGCAGTATCATAGGCCTCACATAAATCGAATGATTTATGTGACGCATGTGTATTTGGTGCCTCCTTGTACCAACTTCTGTGTTAAAATAAATAAATAAATAAAAGAAAGGACAAACGCGACAGAAAACTATCGAGTTTTAAAGAAACTTATCCAAGGAACTGTACATTATTTTAAGCAAAGATGGACAGTGTCTAGCAGTGAATTCTAGAACACGCGTTTCATTTCATTTGGCACTCGTCAGCTAGATGTATCTGCATCTCAGAGTTGATGTTCACTCCGGGACTCGAACCCTAAATAACAGTGAGAAGATACAAGTAAAACAACATCAAGTTAATGTTTACAAATTTTGTTTGAAATAATTAAGTCTACATAATTAAAAATATATTTTTCATCATCATCATCAGCTGGATTATCATTTTAATTTTTTTGATTAATGAATTAAATAAAAGTTATTAAAATCATTTTATTGTGCTACTATTATTATTATTATCGATCAGAGCTGTAAATGATTGTAACTTTAAAGAAAAAGACAATTATAATGGTCATTTTGTTTTATGAGAATTTTTAAGGCCATTCTCAATTACTGTAGTTTGTATTTTATGCTATTAGATTGATTGAATAAATATTGACGTAATGTAGACAAGTATGAGAACACAATTTGAGCATTACATATATAATCTGAAGGATTTATGAAGATTAGTTTTAATTAAAATGACTCTTCTTTAAAGATTATAATCAATTGGGAAAATCATAGGATAATTAAGGAGTATTAAATGGATATATTGAAACGTTGTTTGTAATTTCATGTACCTAAATTAATGGTTGCTATGGTTGTCAGAAGGGGCATCAGCCTCGTAACTTCCGAAGGAACTCAGCTTTCTTTGTGAGACGTCATAACTCTTCCAAATGAAGACCTTCTAACTCCCTGGGCAGATTTTAAATGGTTTGAATTATTTTTTCTGGTTGGCGCTTTTCTAACGAGTTATTTTTCTACGAGATGGGGTCACTAACCCCATGCACAACTCTCCTCCTTTGTCCGGGCTCGAGACCGGAAGCAGCCCCGGAGGGGCTCCAGGGGCCCATGCTTCACTGAGAGTAACAGACGTAAGTAAGTAAGTAAGTTGTTTGTAGCTCCTTAAGGTAGGCTGATACGAAAAGCTAGTAGTTCTGTTTTTGATAATCAGATGATGAGGGATTCTACTTATACTGTAGGTAAAATGTTTATTATTTAATCTTATTGTGTCCAGATCTTGTATTTATATCGATGGATTTAATGAACAGGTTCCTCCGAAATGAGCTTAATTTACATATGTCTTTTGGTTGTTTGTAAAGTATTTAGTATATATATATATCTATATCTATATATATATATAGATAATATTTAGTGAATCTTTTTTGATACACAAATATTTCATTGGTGGAAATGTTCAGCTAATTTTATTTTCCATCTTATAGTGATCTTTTAGACGATTTATATGTTCAAGTCCTTTTGAAACATACAAATCCAGAATTTATTATGAGAGCTAAACGATGCATTGTAACAGTAACTGACAGTAAGTTTAATAATCTCAATATTTATGTTGAGTTTCCTTTGATGTAATTACTTAATTTCAATTTTGCAAGAACCTTATGGAACTATCTTCGGCACTATTGTGTATTTTAAAAGTTTGTCAACGTCATTCGAAATTCATACAACGGACTATACTGAAAAGTGGTGCATGAAGGAAAACTGACAGACGCCTTCTAATTGAGAACCAGAGTCAGACAACGCTGCTTAATCTCCCACTTTCTCTTTCTTCTGGTGGTTGACTGGACTATGAAAACCTCCAGATCTGACGAGGAGCACGGAATTAAATGAACATCTTACACGCAACTAGAGGATTTGGACTTCGCAGATGACCTGGCTCTTTTATCCCCTACACATCAACAAATGCAGATGAAGATATTCAGTGTAACAGCCGCCTCTGTTAATTATCACAAATATATTAGTTTTAGCAAGTATAGGGTAGTGGAAATAGTTGACTTTTATTGAAGTCATGAAGCGATCTTATCTGTGGTTCTAGCGAGAAGCCGTGAATGATGTGAGGTAGGAACTAACTGGAGATAATGGAAGGGGGATTGCTCAATATCGTGGGATGACTGAAGTTAGACTAGTGCACTACTGGATAGCGTCTCAGTGAAGTTATGGTTAAGCGTTAGTATGCGAGACTAGAGATCTTAGGTTTGATTTTTGGATGTGGGGCCATGTATAGATACTGATGGGGAATCTCAAACTAGGTTGAGGTAAATATCAAGTGCTTTCTGGTGGTTGTTTATCTTAAATTGGCCCACGATCTCAGTGAACTTAGTTTTTCCAGATTTCTGAGCATTATAAGTAATCGCGTTAATGACTGAAAACTACATGTATATGTTTGTTAAGGGCAACTGACCAAAATGGGGAACGATGGCTTATTCAATAATTTGTTAAAGACATAACAGTGACAACTAGAAAAAGCTACAACATAGTGATTTTTTAATTTTTAATGAAATAAATAGAGCTAAAAATTGATTACATAGGATAACGGAAGTTGTTTATTTAATGTGGTGTATAAATATTTACAAAAGTTATCAGAATGGATGGTCTTCATACTTGTGGGATAATAGTTTTAATTGTCACAATAAAATTATCCAGACTAGAAAACTTAATATTTACAGAAACGGAAATAGTCGTTTCTTGAATTCAATCTGAAGCAAAATAGATATATCGAGGTAGTTTACACTAGATGAACATTTACCAACGAAGATTGCTGAAACTTCGGCCCTGAAAATTAACGGAGGGAACATTCAAACCCTTACTAGTAATATTATAAATATCAAACATGTTTATGGTGTATGCTACATAAGTCGACAGACATAAGTAGTATGTGGTCATCTGAACCTAGTAACTCAGTGGACAGTAGGTTGACATTTGTAGTCAAAAGTACTGAGAGTGAGTCCCGATGTGAACACTAACATTAGGATGGAATCACGTTTAAATGACAAGTCCCGAATGAGATGAAATAATGGGTCCTGGGTCACACTGTGGTGTGCGCTACTTATATACACATAAGTAGTATATAACGATAGTCAGGAATAGAATGCATTTAAGCAGAAGAAGAAGTCGAAGTACCAATTATTGATTATTCAGTCATTTTTTTCCTGAAAAGTATGAATGTAATAATTTTGGAAGGAAAATGTAAATGAATATGTTACGATAGTTAGTTATTTATATTCCGTATATCGGAGAAAAATAGTATTATAATAAATGCTAATCACTCATAACCATTAGAAGTGTGAAATTTAATAGTTAAAATTGTATGATACAGTTGAAAAATCTCTCTATTACACATAATAAATAGTTTTTAGTGACGTATATGTCTGTATATCTTTGTGATCTATTTAATGAATTTTTACCTTATGTTACATGCACTAAGTAAAACTGAATCGCTTGTTAGTGACTTGTTAGTCTGGAAAATAGATGTGACACAGAAATAGTATGTTACTAACTTAAAGTTTCACAACAGGAAAGAATTTTAGTTAGGCAGTCATTAAAAGCCAAGGAGCATCAGATGGCTGTTTTTTTCTATTATCTGGTCGATCAAGGTTGTGGATTCATGACATCTTCAGAGATGAAACCAAGACCTTTAGATTTCACAATGATCATTCGACCTTTGAACGACAGATTTGGGATCTAATAGTTTACATTTTTAATGCTAGTCAATTCACTGTATAACGTGATCGCCATTCATCGGCTTTGGTAATACCTATTTTACGTCCTACAAGGTTAAATATCAATGGTCAGGACTTTTTCCTAAAACACCAGAGACGGAGTTAGTTACTAATGAGTATATGATTACGACTAGTGTAGAACGTTTGTGGCGACAAAACGGTAACTATGTTTTGAACTACTTATTTCCTGGCAAATAACTAATCTAGTTCGTGAATGATATCTATCCATAGATATATTTATCGGTACTCGACAATAGTGATATTTCTTGACCCTATGGCAGCATTCGACTTCATTGATTGAGAGGTTTTATAACAGTGAATATCGTTGGAAGGAGCACGAAAGAAGTATATGAACCTTGTGAAGGCTCTTCACTTAAATCACAAGTTATGGTGAACTGTCATCTGAACTGATAGCGTCAACTGATGTTTGTTAGGGTTATCCATTTACACTATTCTTATTTAACTTGGTAAGATATTTTCTATTACTAAAGTCGCTTTCGCCCTCTGAATTTTCATAGATTAATGTTCTGCTGGGAGATCTCCTTGCTGAATTAGAGTAGGGGGGCGATATAGTTCCTCTTAATCAAGACACTGGTAAAATCCAGTCTTCCAGTTGCCTTGAGGAACAATGCTAAGCTGTTTGAGATCTGTTTACCTCCGTATAAGTGCTAAATGTTGCTTCAGAATCAGTTTGGAAGAAGTCAACACATCACAAAATACCCTAAAATTCCAAAAACAGGCTTCGAGCACTTGTCGTTCGAAATCTGGGGCCAAGCTACCAGGTCAACAAGATCATAACCAACCCAGTTTCTTTCCCATGTACCTCAAGAAAAGTCCCTTTTTGCCGTGTCAGGAAATAGGGAGTAACGGCTTCTCATATACGTCCAACAGAACTTTAGGTTATCTTTTTCACGACAAAATGTCTTCAAGCTTTCATCTGATCATTTCGATCCCTACTATCGCCTCTTTTCCAATGGCCTCACATTTTTTCCGCGTGCCAACGATACTAAAGATTTGAGTTAAGGAAATGTTCTTTGTGATTTTCTGGCAACAGAGTTATGGACTTCATATTAAAGTTTTCAATGTTCGAACCCTAAGTAAAAACAAACAACAGGCTCCATTAGCTAGGAATCTGGAGTCTCTTGCTGTCTTCTGTCATGCCTAAGTACAGTAGGGGTATATAACCGCTCTCGAACCATAGGTTTTAGTCTCATCGTTCTTCAAACGATCTGTTTGAAGCTAAAGGAACAAGTGTTCTAGCTATTAGAGCTCGATAGAGTCACTATGGATGGCAAGCTTGACCACTGTACCAAATCTGAAGCTACTGATTGATCTGTTGTTTTTCTACTAAAGTGGTTTTCTTTAACCTTCCTAACAACTTGTTAATGTGTGATATATTATTCAATAAGCATGTATAGTAGAGTATAGGCAATCTGATTCAGCATTAATTCAGCACTTTGTGGTTAGAAGTTTTTTATCCACACTTAAGAAATGTTTTTATACCCGCTAATATGTACAAATAATATTGCTTTCTAACGAAAAATAAAAACTATCTGATACGCTTACTCTATGGACTCTCACCAAGTCAGTTGTTTAATGCTCTTAAAGAGAATAAAACTGTGTTTGTATAGAGAAGTAAATGTCTTATCAAGTTCTGACTTAGATGACCATATTCTGGATAAATATCATGATTAGATTAATAATGTTCACCTAATGTATTTAAATTATTGTTCAGTGTAGCGATAAAAATGTTTATAATTGAGATCATGAACCGACTGATGTTAGACCACCATTGAAAACCTGGAAGCACTGGACGGCCGTTTCATACTATTGTGGGACTCCTCAGCAGTTCAGATCCACGACCCTGCTCGCGGGATTTTAACCCAGGACCTTCAATCTCGCGCGCGAACGCTTAGCCTACTGGACCACTGGACCCCTATACTGATAAAAATGTTTATAACTGAAATTTTATATATTGCTGTCATTTTATGTATGATTGACAATTTTGTGCTTTTTAATTTTTTTTATTAATCTTACTGTAATCTCTGCTGGATATTTGTTAGTTCTTATTTCTTTCAAAAGGATCGGAGGAAAAATATATCCCAAGACTGAAGTTTATTAATAACTATATATTAAAATGGATAGACTTAACATGATAGTATAACCTACTAAGTCTACCGATGAACAACTATTCTACTGCAATAATTAATCAATCAACTAATGTGGAAATTTGAGGTCAGATAAATCATTTAACTTACCTCTACATACACAGGAAGTGAACTGGAATATCGTATTTATCACAAAAGTTAAAATATTTTTGTAGTTGTTTGATTCATTATAGAGATGGTTATCATCGTTAACAATGATGACTATTGTGTTGAGTCGTAAGTTGTTTAAAAATGAAAGTATAGATTATTGAATTACGACTCAATAATAATGATGAGTTCGACCTTCTATGAATTGACTGGAATGCACTGATAGGTTGACGCATCGACTCAATTTTTAATTCTGAACACTAAAAAATCAAGAGGAAATTAGCGAAATCAACTTAATATTCATATAACTGATAATGAAAAGCTGAACATATGGTTTACAATTCTAAATTCCGAATAAAATAAGGAAGTTAAACGTATGGAATAATACAGAAATTGTAGATTTAGAGGAAATCAAAGAATAAATTCATTTGCTCCACTATGATGTATTATTCTGAACTACGATATCTTTGCTTCCTCAACACGATCTATTTCAATAGTTAGTGATTTTATGAACTGGTAGAAAATATTTTCCAATCACTCTTAGGTTTGTTTAAATCGTTTCCTACGGTAACTACTATTACACATGAAGTTATTAGTATTTGCCGAAAACTTTAATATATCTGTGTTTTTGATAAATCTCAATGAGGCATACTAATGGTAGATGAAATTGGTATTACATGTTGAGTTATGATCGAACTCACCTATCTTTGTAGTTATTATACTTATCTGAGAATTTTAAGCGCATATCACTTGATTGTGGTACTTTTCAATGCCATTGACTAACTTGAGAATACTGATTTTGAGGAAGACTTTTTTGAATTTAATGACAAATAGTATCACTATATAGAATTAACAAGTGAATGTTAATATAAGGTTAACATATTTATTTTTAAAAAATTAAAATAATTACTAAAAAGATGTGTGAGCTGTAGTATACTGTTTGTATGAAACACAACAGAAAATATGACTGACTCATTGGTTTGAAGCTTAAATGAAAGTTCTTCTTATTGTTTCATATCACGACAAGAAGTTACCGTATATCTTGAAGGTAATATTCATTGCAAGATAACTTTAGTTAGAGAACCATTAAAAGTATAAAGTACTAGAATATTATTTTATCATAGTTTGTTTCTCCTCAGTAGTGCACCGAAAATTAACTTATTAGGTCTGTTGAGAATCTGTAGTGTATGGAATCAACCATCTCAAGAGCGAGAATTTGGTGGATCAAGTACATTGGTTTGGGAAATCCATATATCGCAATTTTATTGAAATTAGAAATGTACATTATTGGACTCAGTAATCTGAAGTTATCGTAATGGTAATGAGACTTAAACTCTCAGGTTTCAATACCATGCAAACGATGTGACTGTATGTCAGTGAATCCTTTTTATGAGTTGTATCAAGTCACAAAGTTTGGGTTGAGCCAAATGCATAGGTACAGACTATCTGATTGGTGCATGGGCGATGATAGTAACTAACAGTTGTGGACAATGAGTAACATACCTCAGAAGTGCTCACATTCGTTCTTCTCGACTGATATCATCAGTTTATTATTAATATGACGTAAGTAGTAACGTATAACTTGAATGTTATAAAATTTTCATTTTCACCTTTATTAAAAAAATTCTTCTTTGATTTTAAAGAACCGTTCCCAGTGAATGATACTATGGAAGCAAAACTCAAATATCTTCATGTCAATTGGCAACATGAGAATTGTATTGAGAAAGCTGTTGTTTGGTTTGCAGAAAATATTCTAAACGATAATCATATTAACTTAACACATAGATTATCATCTCATTTATTTCAGCTAATGTATTTACATCAAGCTAATTTGTCAATTATTACATCATCTTTAAAGATAATAATTCATTCAGTTGAAAATGAACAGTTACAATCTATGTTAACATGTTCAAGACATCCTTGTGAAGATGTTAGTAACCGATCTTTTTCTTCTTCTTCTTCTTCGTCTTCATCATCATCATCGTCATCTTTACATAAACTATTAAAAGAAAGTAACCACTTTAAAAAGATTTGTAAAATAAACAATTTATATCTTGTATTAATCATAATGCAAAACTATTTACAACATGTCAATGTACAGAGATTAGGCTTAAAATTTTTCAATTCACTTATCCATAGAAATTATTCTACATTTATTAATTTAAATATAATAAATGATTATTTACAGATAAATAATAAAATATTTAAAAAGCTTCATACCATTAATTTATGTCATCATTTGATTGAATTATTAAATTATACAACTAATAAAGATATAATTAAAATAGGTATTAGTTATCTATGGAAATTTTGTATCTATGGTAAGTTAATTCTTTTTTTCAATTATAAAAATTAATTGTCAATTTAGGGGTTGTGGAGATTGTTAAGTTTTTGATTGAGATCATGAACCGATTGATATGAGATCACTATTGAAAACCTGGAAGGACTGGACGGCTGTTTCGTCCTATAATTCGAACCAAGGGTCTTCAGTCTCGTGCACGAACACTTAACCTACTGGATCACTGAGCCGGCATCCATTAGTGTTAATGTTGACGGCCGTCCAGGTTTTCAATGGTGGTCTAACAGTAATCGGTTCATGATTTCAATCAAAAAATTTAATAATCTACACAACTCCTAAACTGATAATTACCATGTGCTCACTAGTGACTAGCTTCGTGAGAAAATTTTCGGAGTTCTAGTGAGGTGCCGTGACCAGTGGAGTCAATCCATGTCGGATCGTGGATGAGCACTGCTAAGGAGCACTGTGATAGTCGAAACAGCTGTTCGTTCTGAAATCCTAATGTCTTCTCGTCTGATCATCAAGTGTTGTGCATATGTCGTGCTTTTGACATACTGAAACTCTTTTCTCTGTCTGATGACTGTTAAAGCTCTGAGGTCATGTTCCACTACTTACTACTTATAATCAATCTTGTGAGTGGCGTTTGTCATAAAACGATAAGTTTCAATTATTGTTTGCTTGACAATAAACTAACATGTTAGACGTAACTGTGAGAAGTCTATTACTTGATGATTTAAAAAAAAACTTGACTTTTATTTACATAAAAATCGAGTAAAATACTCTATGAACCGATTGATACTAAAGATTTATTTTGCATCCGTCACGCCAAATCTAATTTAATATCAAAATATCAAAATGGTAGCCTAACTAGTTACATTTATTTATTTATTTGTTTTTACTTTTATTTTCTTCTTATTTAAGAACCGATTGCTCTACAAGCAGCCGATAAAGGCGCATTATCTATCACTGTGCAACTAATGGAGTCTAATCATTTTGACAGTGAAATTTTCGCCAATGGTTCTATGATTATCGTATCTTTATTACGTATTGGTAAGTTTAGTAATTTGCATTTATTAATGTCTTGAGTTGATGTTAAATTAGTATCATTTGTAGTTTCATTAAATGATCGACAATTACACATGAGAATATTGTTTTTACCGCCGAAAGCTGATATTTGTCAAAAGAAACCATGATTCACATGACTCAGAGACAAATAAAAATACTTCGATGTTCAACAAAGTTTTAGTCTTTCATTGAAATGGTTTTGTCTTTTGAACAAATAGACATTTTCTGGATTTCAGTTTCATAATACTGAACTATAAAGATATGATTTGTTCAATTTACCAAGTTCTATCAGAGGTCAAATAATCACATACTGAATGAGTAGTTTGTACTATACCACTTGACTACTCGTCGTTTCATACTTAAATGAAAGCATCCTATCCTTTGTACTGTATAGGATATCAGATTTTGGGGCAAATAAAAAAAATTTCAGCTTTTTTTTATCCAAGAAAAGCGAAACATCTTCATAGTTTGTCTGACAATATTAAAAGTTTTAATTTTCCATATGATTTCATCATGGAATAATGACATCTTGGAACAAGTCCTCGTTTAATAGTATAGAAAGTTCCTGAATCGCAAATAACTTTATAACTCTGCAAACTATTATGAAATATAACAATTGAGATAGATAAGTATCATCACTATTAAATCTGAATCTGAAATGGAAATATAAATCTTTACATGTTGTTTACGTCTGGAATGAAAATGCCAAATACATACATAAATGATTGTTTTGATATAGAAATAGAATGAATATATTGATCGCATGAAGTGAAACGTCATCAATGTCAATAATTTTTGTTTTAATCGAACTCATTGATACGTCTAATTCTTATTCTAGTAGAAAACTATGAACGTTAAATAACATTATTTTGATAAAATCTGTCATTTTCGTAGTTTTAAAGTAATTTTCGTCATTAACTGACTTTAACTGGAGAACTTTGGAGAAAATCCAAATAGGAGTGAACATTTATTTTGTATCAGTTTCAGAATTCATAGCAGAGCAATTCCTCAACTGCACATAAATTCGGACTCGAGATCTTAAAAGTCTCTCTCAGCAAATATATCATTGAACCAAGTCGTAAAAATTTATTGATCTGTATAGAATTATAGGTGAATGCGTTGAACCCCTAACTTATGTAATCTCACAAATCATCCCCCTTCTATACTGAATAATTTTGTATGAAATAAGTAACTTGAAAGTCTTGAATTCATGTTTGGGATAGTACAATTCTCAGTGTTCATTTCTTAAAAAAATTATCGTTGTCATAATATTTTCACTTCTAAAACATCAAACTCTAATGAAAGCAGATTAAATATAAATTCCAAAAAAACATAATTTTCATACAATGTTTGATAATAAATTTAAAACATTCTAACTGTTTAAAGTTAGACATTAACACCATTAGATGCTGGCTCAGTGGTCTAGAGGTTAAGAATTCTACTGCAAGACTGATAGGTCCTGGGTTCGATTCGCACGATGCGGGTTAGTGGATGTGCACTGTTGAGGCGTCCCATACTATGACAAAACGGTCGTCCAGTGCTCTCCGGTTTTTCATGGTGGTCTAGCTTCAACTGACTCATAATAAACAGTAATTTTTTTATTTGATAATTAAGTGAAAAAAAATGTGTTTAATGTTTCAATTGAAACTATATTTCTATCGTTTTAAAGTATAAATAATTATTTTCTTTATTACATAACAAGAAAAAATTAAAAGGCAAATTACAGAATACAATAAGTTAATGTATATTCTACTGCATGGTTTAATTCAATTTAAAAATTTACCAATAACTATTTGGAATATATGTCTATGCTTACAAATTGTGATATCTTTGTCTGGTAAGTCTTTATAACGTCTTCTATATATATATGTACGTGTGCGTGTTTCTTTGTATATGAAATTATTATTAATGGTTATAATTATGTGTTGTAAATAATTTCTCTTTACTTATATGAGATATCTCAAAATATGTGCGTTTAAATGAAGTGTTAAAGAAGGGTTTAATCGAGAATTGTCTTTAGAAATATCATTGAAATCACAAATTGATCTTGTTGGGGACGATAGATCCCCAAAACTCAAATTTTGTAATTTAATTATCGATTATATGTGCAGATAGGTCAATTGATGAACTATCGATTAAATGTTCAAATAGCAGTCAATTGTTGATTAATGTTCAAAAATCTTCCATGACAATATCGATTGTAAATATTTGTATAAATACGCTTGATTTGTGTGTTTGATTTGACTTGTTATCTGCTGTTGTCTGTAGAATACACTTCCTACACCTTACCCAGACTTTTTGATCGAGTCAGCAAAGTTGGGGACAACGGACCAGAATAGGCTATCGAGATTCTGAATCTTTGATCCGATCGATAAGTCACTGTCATATAATCGGCTGTCTCTTTGAACCATAACAGATCTAAGCTAGACAACATCGTCTAATGTTATACATATTTCGGCAAGAAATAGAAAAAAAATATTAAACGATAAAAGAATCAATCATCATTGGTATTCATTTATTTATTTATTTATTTTTGTTTTTGTTTTAATGTTAATGATTATCTTATAGCTGATATGAATTATATTTTATTAAGCTGATGTGTATTTTCATTTGACAAACTTAAAAATCATCTATAATTTTAATTTTTCATTGAGTTGTTATTGTTAAGTAAACTCTAAGCATTTTATATTCATACTTCAATATTATACGAACTTGTAGGACAAAATTTACATTCTTGAGTTCATTTGTAGTCAAAATCAGATGGTATTGATGTATTTGTTCAAATAGTTTACATGTCAACAAAATCTGGTCTATTTAGTTTTTGAATACATCAATTTTGAGATATAAATTTTTGAAATTAATAATACCTGGATCAGATTACTGTCCATTGTCCGTTCCTCATCTGAATGATTTATGATTTTTAAAATTATCACTTCGTAGAATATACTACTGACTTGAGCTCGAAAATGCACATTTCTAGTGTTTTCTGAAATAAGCGCATAGCGACAACAGAATGTGGTATCGTTAAGAAATATTGATGAAAAATAAACTATTTGAGATTACTTTGCTAAGCATAGTCTACTCATTTTATCACATTAAGCATTCAAGGAAGTTTTCGCAACAATTTGAAAGATTCAAGGAGTCTGAGCAACAGTTTATTCTGCGAATTACCCTTTCTTTTTCTAAAATTTCTGCAGCTAATATAAAAACAATCTGAATGAACATATCTAACGTTGAATTAATTATATTCATCGTTGGTAGAAGATATGTTTTGGAATCTGAAAGTTTTTACGAGGAAATTATTTGCTTTTCCGCTTTAATTTACATTGGTGGAACAAGCATTTTAATGTATGGATTTCATTTACTAATATCCATAGTCATTATTACACATTACGAAGAGAGATGGTTGATAATGGCACATTAGTGAATGCCTTTCTACAACTACATTCATCACATTCATAAAGTGACTTTCTTAACTGAGGTGATTGCGTAAGTTTTAATTTGATTAGTATCAAGTACGTAACAATATATGAACTAAAAAATTGTCAGGATGCTGTTTACACCGCTCACGTAACGGTTTCTTTTCATTAAAAATTAAACGTCGGATTACATTTTTACTGTAATTTAATTAAGCTGCATATTGCATAATTTTAAAGAATAAGTGAAATTCCAGCCAGTTAGTCAATTGTTTCAAATTGAGTCAATTAAGCCTAAAGACACTTTAGCAACCCTTTCTTCTAATAAGCATTATTAAGACTTATATATTAATTCTTTTTGTAATGTTTGTTTGAACCTTCTGATTGATGTTTAGGACTGAGATTGATCAGTCTCTTGTTGGCATATGTGCATCCTGTACGGGTTTCCTCAACATTGCCTTAAGTCACAAGCATTCTAAACAAAGATGGATGGTGGCTAGCAGTGGAACCGAGGACGCACGTTTCGTCCTATCTGGGACTCGTCAGCTGGATGAACCTGTATTCCAGAGTTGATGTCTACTCCGGGACACGAATCTAGTATAGTTCTCTTCAAACGAACTTACCAGCTACGTGGGTAACGGGATGGTGTTTGAAGTAAGTGGCACTTTGCTTGAGTACCTGAGTGAACATAAACTTTGAAATGCAGGTATATCCAGCTGATCAGCCAAAAATACGACAAAACGCACATCTTAAATTCCACTGCTAGCCACTATCAATTTTCGACTCATATATATTTTAAACATTTGGTATATCAATGCATAGAAATAAAATTGTTACAAATGTGATTTCAAACCAATGAAGTCAGTTCAAGTTTTATAAACAGTTGACCATTTTAAACATCCATACCCTGTCACATGTCACTATGTGTGTTTGTGTTTATCTGTGTGTATATTGATTAGGCTAGTCAAATTTGTGTCTTTTTTTTCAAATAATAAAAATATGCAAAAATTCATTTCAGTCATTGTCATTTTAAAGCAAAACGTTAAACTATATTTTCTCATTGAATGTAACACATGAAACAAGTTTTCTTTTCTTTTTTTCATGAAATCATTCAATTTCCTGTTATAATCTAAAGTTGGTTTAGGCAAGATTCTTTTTTCTTTTTTATTATTTTGATAAATTCAAAGTTTACTTTCAATATTCACTTGGTGTTGTTTTACTTGAATCTTCCCATTGAGGTTTCAGACTTCAATTGATCAGTCTGTTATTCGCATATGTGCATACTGTACGGGATCGCCATGATATTGCCTTAATTCACAAGCTTTATAAGAAAAGATGGATAGTCGAAATAGGACGAAGCGCGTGTTCCAGATTCTACTGGTAGCCACTATCCATCTTTGTTTACTTGCAATAGTTTAATTCAGTTTTTACTATGAAAACAATGAAAATTGATTCGTTATTCTTTTTATTATTATTATTACTAGGTAAATTGATGAAAATATTTCAGATAACAATAAAAGGAAAGAATTCTTGTCAATTTTATGCTTAAACAAAACTTAAGCAATAAAATAATTATAATAGTCTATGTTTCTATGATAGATCTTCTGACTGTTATGTAATTAGATTTATTTAGTCACTATGTTGTTTGTTATCATTGTTATTTTTCTAATTTGTTTATGATTTTGAGATTGTTATGATCTTAGTGAAAATGTGAAAAATAAGCCAATGTTAAAATGATAATATTTAATCAAGTTATGTATTGATAAAAGAATCATTGTATTCTGAAAATAAACGGATAACCTGTCGTTATCACGTATTCATTAAATAAATGGGTATACTATTAATAGTCATGTGTTTATTAGTGACAAGCTTCAAGATGCAACTCCTGAAGTTTTAGTAGGAATCCATGATTAGCGGAGTACAATCATGACGAGTATGTGACAGCTATACACCATAGGGAATGGATAAGGGTTACTCAATATCGTGAATCTATTGAAGTTGGACAATAATAACTTTTGATGCCCGCTCTGTGGTTTAAAGGTTAAGTATGGTAGCCCAAGACCAAATGTCCTGGGTTCAATTTTCGTATACACGGTGAAGGTTTTAAAATTCTGAGTCTTGTATTAGAACGAAGTAGTTATTCAACGCTTCTCAGTATACAATTATTGTTTAACTAAAAGTATTCAGTGATGTAAATCATCAAAATTCAACAATCTCCATAAAATCTGTATACTAACCAAATTTTCAGTGCTTAGTTGCAGTCATTATCACTGCTACTATACTATTTCGATTGCTTTGTCACTCATATATTTCATTTCACTTCGTTGCACCAATATGCTATAGAAATGTAGGTAGACGTACATTTATCACAGGCTCTAAGGTGATCATGACTGACTGACTGAAACACTCACAAAATATATTTTAACAAAATACATTCACATCATTGATTAATGATTGCTTTTTCAGACGCAAAGTTTTCACGTTAGTTCTATGTCGAATGGTATTTTTACAGCATAATTTGTATACCTCACACCGTACTGTAAAGTACTTTTATTCCACCAAGTGTGCACATCTAATTATACTTCGTTCTTCTGGAATTTAGACAGGAAGAAAAATTCACTAATACTTGAGGAAGTTTTTCATGATGATAAGTTGTAAACTTTTTTTCTTTCTATCAAGGTAAATGTATGTTTAGATTGTGTAATTGTAATAACTGATTAGTTAAATGTCAAACTGATTTTTTGTTTTTCTTGGTTTTACTCATTAAATCAATCAATCATTAGCAGCAGGTTCCTTTGTTCATCAATACCGATTATGTTTTATGTACCATCAAAGAAAGTTGATCATTTTCAGTTAAAATTCAAACAACTGCATCCGTAGATATTTTGAAGTTTCTTGTTATTGGCGAATTGATTTGTAAACTTAGTAACTATATACCTCTTGATCTTGAATTCTAGCATTTTGTCATACATACGTTTTCATTCATTCATTTTAAACTATGGTCTCAATATTCAGTTTTCCTTATTATTATTATTATTATTATTATTATTATTATCATTATTATTATTATTATTATTGTCACTACACTATTTTCGATCGGTTTTGTCACTCAACTTGTTATTTTAATCTCATGTTAACCATTGTTTGGTGTGAGAATTTGAGCTTATGTACATCTGTGCTAGGCTCCAGGTTGATGAAGGCTGACTGACTGATTTATTGTAAGAATGACTACTAAACAAACAAACAAAATGCACCCAGTCACCTGTTGTTATTTATTTAAAACTTACTTTCATATTATTTTATGGTGTTAACTGTTTTGTCAGTACGTGGCATGAGTTAGGTGTAATTTTTCAGGTTCTATTAGTTTTATTTTATGTTATGAATTTTAGAATATTTTGCTTTACAATTTACTGATGAAATGGAAGAAGACGAATCAAAGAACGAGAAGAAAAATGGATTTGATATATTATATTTAATTTATAACATACATCCTGATAATACAACGATTACTGAAGCACTACTTAAACCAATCACATCACTAATGAAATATGGTAAGAATGGTTTTCAACTTCTTATAGAGTTTCATTTAGCAAAAGGATTATCATTTTCAGTAGTTAGTAGAATGTCATTATATTTTTGCTCTGTTAACTTATTTGTTGAGATATTTTACATTTAAGGTGGAAGAATTTTAAGACAGAATATAGGTCTTTGATTATAGTTTGTTTCTATTATGAACCATTATCATCTGAAAAATGATTGAAAACTATGGAATATGGAGTAATTCGTTTTGAAAATGAAACGCTCCAAATATTCAATGTGCTTAAAACACAATATTTTCACCGGACAGAACTATTTCTTTCATGTGCTTCTTGTTGAAAATAGTCTTTGAATAGGAGATCAATCCTTAACTGTTAGCTTGGATTATATTGGATGTTATAAACCTCTCTAATCAAACACTATTTAAAATGGCCTAAATTTGACACCAGTTCCAAAGATGATCTTTATGTGATTTATATCTTGGAATATTTGATTTCTATTTTTCATCTTATCTACTTTAATGGTATACTATTTTTATTGAATTTCATTAAGCTATTGTAAATTGTGATAAGTTTAACTGATTCAGTTTTGTGTTATACTTTATGTTAATTTACCCAACTGATATATTAGTAAATATACATTCATATAGAATATTTTGTAACTGAGACATAAAGTACAAATTATTACTATGAACTGTTAACATTTGTGCATCCTCGTAAACAATTTTGATTTTAATAAAATTTTATTCTGCACTTTGAATGGTACTGAGAAATATTACACCTTTTCTAATAAATATCATGAAACTATGTACTGATTGAAGTGGTACACATTAACATGTGTATGTATATGGATACACACATAAATAAATTAGGGAATAAACAACCTATTTGTAATTTTAAAAGAAAGTTTGTTCTGAGTTTGAAAAAGAAAAAAGAAGAAAAACAAGAGACTTATCAATTCTAAGTTGATAATACCAAGTTATTCTAGCCATGGTAATAATCACTATGAGGTCAATCACTTCTCTGTCTTAATCGGATAGATCAGTAGACAAATCATTTTAAATTTAAAAAAATTAAGGTCATTAAGTTTGGTGTAAGAGAAAAAGAAAAGTTGATTATTAAATACGTTCTAATAGTAAATTTGTAATGATACATATGATTAGTTTATATAAACGTCTGTCAAAATTTGAACTAATGGTTTGACAGAAATTGGACTTCAAGTATATAAAAGACATTAGATGCTAAAATTATATTTAAAACAATCTCATAGATTAAGATCTAAACAATCCAAACGTTTCATTTAGCAAACTGGTAAGAGCTTCTTCAGTCAATTAATTAAAATCACAATTATATAATTTGTACTCATGACTGCAAAATCGTGCATGGAGGACAGTTGACAAAGTCGTTCGAAGTGAAGACCGGTGTTAGGCAAGGTTGCTTACTCTTATAGCGACTCACGTGCTAATGGGTTTATTTTCATTTAACCCAGTTAGGCCCTTTTTGTTAACTTATTTAGTGGACAAAGTCATCCATGATATAACAACTTGTTGTACTATCTTTATTATTATGCTTGTATGAAATACATACGCTTGAACATTGTTTAGCGCCTACGCATGTATTCATTCGGCTAGCTTCATTATTAACTGCTTAATCTATTCGCTGACTCATCCATTTTCCTATGCATATATATATGTGTACATTTGCACCCATTTACTACAACTACAACTACTACTACTACTACAGCTACTTGCTACTGTTACAATCGTAGTTCGCTTGCTCATTCATTTTGCCTCTCTACTGTCTGGTCCGAATTATCTACTAAATAAACTGTAGTAGCTGCTTCTCTTTGCCTTCTGATTTCAAACATCGTTGAAGATTATACGATAACGGTTCGAGGGTGATTAATTATAGAAGCACAGCCACTACAGAATTGGTAATCCCGACGTGAGAACGGAAAGCGAATTTTGGCGAAATAATCAAATTCCAAAAATCCGATTCTTTTCATCTCAATTTGGATTATCAAGTGAACTATAATCACAACTGTGGATTTATATTATTATTCTAATTACACTTACATTATTTCGCAAACATTATTAAACGTGACGATTATAATCATAATAAATAACAATTATCCATAAACAATTGATATATTGGTGCAATTTAGTAAGTCTGTTCCATTTTATAAATTGTGCCATTTTTTTATTATCATTGTTTTTGCCCGCCTATTCTTCCTTGTGACTGTTAAGTTATTTTCGTGTGCTACTTAATTATTATAAGCATGTCTTATGAAAACACAGTTTCAAGCGTACAGCAAGCCTCGTCCGTGAGGTCTCTTAACCTCCCTGCCCCTTCTTTTAAAATAACAGACCCAAAACTGTGGTTTATAAGACTTGAAAATTATTTTCTCGCTAACCGCATTTTTTTGCAAAAGGATAAGTTCGGCCTGACAAGCACACTACTCCCAGACGAAGTAGCTGACAGCGTTCGAGAGGCACTAGCAAAACCAGACACAGAGAAACCATACGACGTGCTAAAAGAGGCAGTAATCAAAACTCTCTCTCTCAGTGACCAACAAGCCGTCGAACAACTCCTTAGCCAAGTACAAATTGGAGATAGAACCCCATCACAGCTAAAAAATTATATGAAAAGTCTACTTGGCGATAGACACATTGACAATAATCTCTTTTATCAGCTGTGGCTCCGCCGACTCCCGGCAAAATACAGCAGATCCTAGCTGTGGGAGATACGGATGCTGATTTAGACAATATAGCAAAGATAGCCAATAGAATATACGAAAGAAGCAAGCAAGCAAGCCCTCCACTACACAGCGTGACGGTAGACGACAGACTTGATACTCTACAGAAGGAAATAAATGTTTTATGCCGCAAACTCACAGAATTAACGCAGAGAGAAAAACCACGAAGGTCATCGCGAGATCGCTCGCGTGAAAGGACCCGGTCAACTTCTAGACGACGCACAACTCCCGCGATATGTTGGTATCATCAAATGTTTGGCTACAGGGCTAGAAAGTGCCTACAACCTTGTAGATTTAACAGGGCTGGTAACCGATACCCACGAGTATCAATGGCAACGGCATCAACACACATAATGCCTGAAAATAGTCGCCTCTTTTATATACAAGACCGAACCACTGGCGCACAATTCTTAGTTGACACTGGAGCGGAAATTAGCGTAGTACCTCCATTTAACGAGGAAAGAAAAAACATTAATCCGTCATTAGTGTTAAGAGCAGCAAACAAATCAGATATTAAAACATATGGCAAACGGCAATTGTCCCTAGATTTTGGACGTGGCGCTTCATACCGCTGGAACTTTGTCATAGCAGACGTATCGATGCCCATAATAGGCATAGATTTCTTATGTAACTTTGACCTGCTAGTAGACTCTAGACGACACAGACTTATAAACGGCAGTCAAACCACTTCGATAAGAGGAATACTTACGGAAGCCGTTTCAATGAACCTTGTGATAGATAAAAGTCGTGGTGATCCATATAAATTGTTGTTAAGGGAGTTCCCTGAACTCGTAAAAGTAACATACAATAAAGCGGATCTCAAACATTCTATTCAGCAACACATCGTAACGAATGGTCCACCAATCAATGCAAGACCAAGAAGGTTAGATCCCAAAAGACTAGCTATCGCAAAACAAGAATTCGACAAGCTAATGAGGCTAGGCATTATAAGGCCATCGAGCAGCCCGTGGGCATCCCCGCTACATATGGCCCCGAAAAAGAATGGAGAGGTTAGGCCATGTGGAGATTACAGAGCACTGAACAAACAAACAGTAGCTGACAGATACCCTATACCGCACATCCATGATTTCACCTATAGTATAGAGGGCACTACTATCTTCTCGAAGATCGACTTAGTCAGAGCATACTACCACATCCCTGTTGCCCCACAAGACATACCGAAGACAGCAGTAACAACTCCATTTGGGCTATATGAATTCCTGCGTATGCCTTTTGGACTGACTAACGCGGCACAAACCTTTCAACGATTTATCGACCAGGTCATTAGAGGTTTACCTGGAGTATACGCGTATATCGACGATTTACTAGTAGCTAGCACCACTAAAGATGAGCATATACAACAACTACGGCAATTATTTATGCGACTCAGAGAACATGGCATTTCTATAAATATTGAGAAGTGTGAATTCGGAAAAGAATCTTTACAGTTCCTAGGTCACAATATAACTTCTCAAGGCATCACACCAATAGCAACAGAAGTCGACGCCATCAAAAATTATCCCCTACCCGATTCATGGAAAAAGTTACGCCGATTTCTCGGGTTAATAAATTATTACAGACGATTTATCCCGAATTGCGCGTCAATATTGCAACCACTAACAGATGCATTACGCGGAAACGCACGGACATTCCAATTATCACCAGACGCGATTCAAGCATTCGAGAACGCTAAAAAAGCACTAAATAAAGAAGTGACACTAACTAGACGAAAGAGCGAAACACCGTTAGCTATCATGACGGATGCATCAGACGTAGCGGTAGGAGCCGTTTTACAACAATTAGTAAATGGCATATGGGAACCGCTCTCATTTTTTTCGAAAAGACTGAATCCGACACAAACAAGATATAGTACTTTCGGAAGAGAACTCTTAGCGATTTACTTGGCAATAAAACATTTCCGACATATGATTGAGGGTACCATTTTTACAGTATATACAGACCATAAACCCCTCACAAAAGCATTGAACGCCAAACAGGACAACTACTCGCCGAGGGAAATCCGACAATTAGAATTTATTTCCCAATTCACGTCCAACATACAGCATATCAAAGGCAATAGTAAAAAAAAAAAAAAAAAAAAAAAAAAAAAAAAAAAAAAAAAAAAAAAAAAAAAAAAAAAAAAAAAAAAAAAAAAAAAAAAAAAAAAAAAAAAAAAAAAAAAAAAAAAAAAAAAAAAAAAAAAAAAAAAAAAAAAAAAAAAAAAAAAAAAAAAAAAAAAAAAAAAAAAAAAAAAAAAAAA